CTCATCCCCAGACACCTGATGGGTTTCTTCAGGGTACCATAGCGCCCCAGGCAGCGTCTGCCGGTCTCCTAATCCTTTTTTAGGAATTAGTTCTCACCTGCTCTGCAGCCACTTTCCTCTTAGTTGTGTCAAGAATCCCTCTCCATTCTTGCTCAAACTTTGCCATGGCACAGTCCGCTGAAATTGTTAACAGTCACTGAATTATGACCCCCGCCCCGCCCCATTAGGTAGATGGTATCAATTTCAGTCCTTTCACGTTTCTATAGCTACGTAGTTCTCCAAGAAGGGCTAGGAGGAGCGGAGAATCAGGATCCTCCTGGGAACTGTTCTAAAAATTTGCCTGCTACTCCTCCAGTGGCTCCCAGTGTGCGTGTGTGTGTGCGTGTGTGTGTGTGTGTGTGTGTACATGTGCCCGCACCCACGTGTCTGGCTGTGTAAACTACAGTATTGCAGTATTGGAAATAAGCTCAGGGTCTTCACACTGAACTACATCCCCATCCCTTTTTACATTTTTAAGACGGGGTCTCACTAAGTTCTCCAGGCTGGGCTTCAACTTGTAATCCTCCCACCTCAGCCTCCCACGGTGTTGCAATTATAGGAACTGGCCACAGTGTCTGTGGTTCCCAGTGTTGTGCTTTAAAAAATAAGCCTTGCAGGTACTTCTGATACAACCCTTTCGTAGGTAGCCACGTCTCTAGAAAAAGAGGCAAGCTAGTATGTGCATCTAAAACTAGATAAAACCCGCAGAGGGAGTAACTCTGCTGTGGAATGCTTGCCTCCTCTGTGCAGTGCCTTTGGTTCAGTCTAACCTGGAGAGAATTCAAGTGCTGTTCATCTCATGCTTAAAACCTTCCCAGCTCCCTCTTGCTTGTAAACGGAGGCACCCCCTCCCTCTCATGAGCTGTAAGGCTCTGCAGGACCTATCTTGCTGGCCACCTTAAACTCATTCCGCATCACTCCCTTTGGCTCTTGGAACATCAGCCCAAAATGTGTCCTTGCAGTTTCTCCAGCCCCCCAGTCTCCCTCCCTCTGCCTCCTACCAAGTGCTCATCTCAGCGTGCGGTTTCCTGTGGACTGACCGCCCAACCTGTGTCCCTCACTGACCTGTGAAGTCAGGGTCTGTCTGTGTCTGTCTCTCCCAGATGAACATAACATGACGTTAACTATTCAAAGGCAAACAATTCTGTGGCATGAAGTACACTGTGACCACCACCTCTACCTAGTTTCCAGATATTTTCATCACCCCGGAAAGGAACCCCATACTCCAACGGTTGGTCCCCATTTCTCCATCCTCCCAGTCCCTGGTACCCCCAGTCTGTGTTCTGTTCTGTGGCTCCACCCACTATGGAGAGTTCATATAACTGGAATCAGACAACTGGGACAGCCTACCTGGGCTTCCAGCCGCTCTGGAGAGGGAGGCAGGAGGACCACACGGTTAAGGTCAACCTGAGCAACCGTGACCCTGTATGGAAATAAAAGATGAATGTCCCCCAACAGCCCGTGGGTTAAAGGCTGGTGGACCCTTTAGTAGGGCCTGCTGGGAGGTCCGTAGTTCGCTGGGGCATATCCTCACTGGGGCTGTGGGATCCTGCCCCTTCCTCCTCCTCTTCGCTCCCTGGCTACTGATACACATGGTTTTGCCCCAACACGTGCTCCTTCTATAATGTGCCACCTCACAACAGACCCAAACAATCACAGACTGGAGACTTCAAAACTGTGAGGTGTAGGGGCCGGGGAGATGGCTCAGTAGAATAAGTGCTTCCCCAGCAAGCACAGGGGCCTGAGTTCAATCCCTGGTTCCGCAAAAAAAAAAAAAAAAAGAAAAAAACTGTGAGGTGAAAAGAACTCCTTTTCTCTATAAGTTAATTGTCCCAGGTATTTTTATGTGATGGAAAGCTGACACACCATGTGACAACTGCTGAGGTTGTTTACCCTGAAAGGCACCATGGGGAATCAGAGAGGGCCCTGGACAGGTGAAAAGATAAATGAAAACATCTCGGAGTTAGGCAGATTAAGACTCAAACACACAAGGCTGGGCGTGGTGGCACATGCCTGTAATCACAGTACTATCGAGGCTGAGGCAGGAGGCTGCAAGTTTGAGGCCATCTTGGGCTACAAAGTGAAGTCCAGCCTGGACTGCATAGACAGACCCTGTTTCAATGAGACAGAAAAAAAAAAAATACCCCAAGACATAAAGCATGAAGGGTGATGAAGATTGGAATCAGCTCCTCATCTGGGTACGTTTTGTCCACAGTTCTCAACAGCCACATTTTCTCGGTCAACACAGCCAAGCAGATCAAACATCTGACGCAGACTTTCCAACAGGGAGAATGCAAGGTTCCCTGAGAGGGAAAAATTGCCAGACGGTGTTTATAACTTTCCTTTGTTTCTTCCACCAGAGTGGATGCCAGCTGTTTTCTTCCAGTTTTCAAGCCAATACGTCCCATCTAAAAAGATCTTTGGCCTCAAAATAATGAAATGTGGGCGCACACAGCTAGGCGTGGCCACAGGGCCAAGGCAGCCTGGGCCAGCTCCGCGGAGTCTGATTCGCTGCTGTGTGAAGACAGGTCGTGGTGGGGCCACTGTAGTCATTCATTTAGGTCAGGTCACACCTGACTACAGACCGGAGGGTGAGCCACGCGCCTCAGTGTTGTGCAGTTCGAAAACATGTCTGTTGGCCATGGGGCCGTGTGCCTGTCATCCCAGCACTCAGGAGGCTGAGCCTTGAGGCTTGGCCGGGGTTTGCACGGGGAGCTCAAGGCCAGGTCTAGAGCTCAACACCACACTAGGAGAAACTGCCCGGAGAAAAGCAGAGGTCATGAAAAGCAAAATGATAGACTGAGTAAAATTAAAAAAAAAAAAAAAAAAAAAAGTTGCTAGGATTGGGGGAAGAAGACAAACAGGAGAAGTATAGGGCATTTTCAGGGCAATGAAACTATGCTCTATGGTACAGTAATGGTGATCTTATGATATGAACCATTTGTGAAAATGGGCTCCATAGAACTCATTTGTTTGTTTGGTTTTGGTACTGGGGATTGAACTCAAGACCTTGTGCTGGCCAAGCGGGCACTTATTCTACTGAGCTAACTCCCCGGCCTTATAGAACTCATGCTGAGCCTGGTAGCACACTCCTGGAATCCCAGCACTAGAGAGGCTGAGGGAAAAAGATTGTGAGTTCAAGTCCAGGACGGACAACACTATGAGACTTAAAAAACAACAAAATTAGTGCAGGTGAGATAGCTCAGTGGATTAAGCCCCTGCCTAGGCAAGCACAGGGACTGGGGTTCGATCCCTAGGGCCGTATGCTGTGCCAGGTACGCTGAGCCACCGAGTCCAGGCGTGGTGGCGCACACCTGTAATCCCAGGGCTGGGGAGACTGAAAATAGGAGGATCACTACGAGTCCAAGCCCTGTACCAAATACATTTAAAAAAATCACAGAACTGTGTAATACAGAGTGAACTTTGATGTATACTATGAACCTTGCTAACAGTAATGTATCAATACTGTTTCATTAATTATAACTTTCGTTAGTTATAAATTATTAAGATTTACCATCTTGATGAAAGATATTACTGAAGGAGGAAACTGGGAAGTGTATAACTATGTGCTCGGTTTTTTCTAAAGATTTAAAGTGATTATAAAGTCTGCACAAGGAGCTGGGAGATGGCTCAGTGGAGTGGAATAAGCACTTCCCTGGCAAGCACAAGGGCCTGAGTTCAATCCCTGGTTCCGCAAATAAATAAAGTCTGCACAGAGTCAGGGCTGGACTCGGGGAGGGTGGGAAGAAGCGCAGGCGGCAGGGCAAAACCAGTGTGTAACACGGGTGTAGTCTCCGGGCTCCACGTCTGTCCCACTTTCTCTGTTTGCTCTCAGTGCAAGGTAGAGACGCCCAGGCAGCGCCCCAGTGGGGTCTCTGGCCTTTCTTTCTTCCCTGGGGGTCCTTCAGCGTCCTCCTCTTCATGGCTTTGCCCAGATCGCTCTTCTCTATATACCCAGGCTACACAGACACTCCCGTCCGCCGCGCTGTCGTTCCTGTCAGCTTCCCGGGAAGTCTCTTCGCCCTGCCTCTGTGTCCCCAACCCCTACCGCTTTCCCGAGTGTCAGATCCGCGTGTCCGGCTCCCCGCGGGACGCCCCGCACGTCCATCCGCTCAGCGGCTCGCTGTCCTCCCGGCTGTCCGTCCTGGTCCTGGCGGAGGCTCCTGGAGGCAGCTGGCAGCCCGGCGGGATGGGGGCCTCGACCAGGCGCTTGGGGTGCCCGCGACAAAAGCAAAGCCTGGGGACAGCCTTGGGCTTCCACTTGCTCTCGCTTGAAACCGTCTTGCACCCCTCTCTCCTCCTCCTGGCTCGTGGTCCTCGTGTTCTGTTGAGCTCACATCCCAAGTCTTCTTGGGTCTGTCCTGTCTCCCACGTCAGGTCCTCAGCTGCTGCCTGACCCGCCCAATTGGCTTCTCTGCTACCTGGCCATCCTCCTGTACTTTTCCTGCCAGTCTTACCCAAAGATGGCAAATCAGGACATGGCCCTCTATATACCCGAGTTTGTGTGCCCTCCATTTCCTTCAGTGGGGGGTCTTTTTTTTTTTTTTTTTTTTTTTTTTTTTTTTTTTTTTTTTTTTTGTCTTTTTGAGACAGGGTCTCACTCTACACTTCACACTGAGTTCACTTTGTAGCCCAGGCTGATCTCAACCCCCAGCGATCCTCCTGCCTCAGCCTCCTGCTGAGGTTCCAGGCCTATGCCACCACAGTGGGCCCCAGTGAGGGAGGGGGTTCCTAACTCCGGGTGGGAACTTTGTGGGGAGCCTCTCCCTGTTGCAGCCCAGTAATTCTGCTCTGATTGTTCTATATATGGAGTACCACGAACGATTGATTCCCTTTGAAGAAAGGGCTCCAAAGCTCTGACCTGTTTACAAGCTAACAGGTAGGGCCAGGTAGGAGCTCAGCGGTAGAGTGCTTGCCTAGCCGTCACGGGTTCAATCCCCAGCAATGCAAGAATTTTAAGAGGGCTCTTTTTGGCAGCACACACACTAAAATTAAACCCATATGGAAAAGATCAGCATGGCCCCTGGGCAAGTGTGACAGGCAGATTTGTGAAGCGCTCCATTTTTTTTTTTTTTTTTTTTTTTTTGGCAGAACCGGGGATTGAACTCAGACCCTTGTGCTTGCCGGGGAAGCACTTATTCCACTGAGCCATCTCCCCGGCCCCTCCATATTTTTTAATACTTATTTTTTCTCCTTTTTAATTTTTTATAACTTTTTTGATCAATTTTGTATGTTTACATTTGGTAATCTGAACAACTAACGTGAAGACAACGACCATTGTTGAACTCCTATTATTGTTTAGTGGAACTCTGTATCATTTCTTTCTTTCTTTTTTTTTTTTTTTAACCAGGAAATTGAACTCAGAATTTTGCACTTGCCAGGCAGGCACTGTACTCCTGAGCTATTTCTCTGGCCCTTTCAATATTTTTCTTCCTATTTTTTATTCTCTAACAAAACAAAACAACAACAAAAAACCTGCAAAAAAATTTAAGAAATTAAAAATAAATAGGGCTGGAGATATAGCTCAGTGGTCTAAGTGCCTGCCTGGCAAGCACAAGGTCCCGAGTTCGATCCCCAGTCTCTGATGCCATGCCGGCCCCCAAACCAGGCATGGTAGAGAACTCCTGTCATCCCAGCCCTGGGGAGGCTGAGACAGAAGGCTCACTGCAAGTCTGAACTGTGTTGGGAGATCCTGTGTCAAAAATTAATTAACTAATTAAGCCAATGGCTTACAGAAGAGTATTCTCTTACGTGTGGCAGCGTGGCATTACAGGCGCTTTTCTGTCTGCCCTCTCCCTCCCTCCCTCTCGAGCTCTGTTTTCCACCAACTGCCCACGCCCCTATGCCATCCTCCAGCCCTGCTGGAGTCTCCTTCCCTACAATGCCACGCCCTCTCAATCCCAGACCTTTCTCCCCCTCAAAAGCTCAAGCGCTACCTTGGACCCTATCTGTTACAAACTTAAGTATTCAGGACATATTTATTATTACATGAATAATTGCTCTTCTCTGCAAGCATCAGCGCATCCTTCAAGGCCAAGCCAAACACCGCTGCTCTGGAACTTCCCTGGGACTGCCTGCTCCCCCCATCCTCCCGCTGCCATCATCAATTTGTTGCTGTCATTTGTGTTTTGCCAAGCACTTGGCCTTCTCCGTAAGGGTACACATTGCGCTCTGGCTTCTGTTTGTGTGTGTCCATCGCCGCTCACAAACCCTCCAGAGTGAACTCCAGGACGGGGTACTTCCAAAAACAGCGCCTGCTCAGGAATAACCAATGATGAAAGCTAAGTCCACCTCTCACCTCAAAAGCCCCATTCCAAGTTGGTCTTGGCCAACAGTTAACCCATTACCCCCAGAAGGTTAAAACCGGCTTAACCTTAACAGTTAACTTGGGCTACCAAATCCTTGAGCGACAGGCGAATGGGAGATGGAGTCTCCCTGTGTAGCTCAGGCTGGCCTTGACCTCATAGTGATCTTCCGCACTCAGCCTCCCGAGTGCTGGGATTACAAGGAGTGCTGGGATTAGCAGCGTGCGGTTCAGTGCCTGGCTTCAGTCCTTGAGAGTTATCCTCGCAGTCTCTTGGACTAATTAATTTGTGATCTCCCGTCTGTATTCCTGGAGTTCCCCTTCTTTATTTGCTTAGTCCAGACTGTATCTGCACCTTGCTGCCAACAGGCCTGCGAAGGTTGGTTCATTTAGCACTAACAGCTGACTTTAACCCTTAACCTTTCTGTCCCTCCAGTTCTGGATAAGATGCCCGGATAATAAAGATGCCTGCCTACACAATAAGACCTTGTCTCCCACTTACCTGCCCTTCAAAAAAAAAAAAAAAAAACCCTCAAGGATCTGGTACCCAAGTTAATTGTTAAGGTTAAGCTGGCTTTAACCTTCTGGGGTGATGGGTTAACTGTTGATGAGGACAAATTTAGAATAGGGTTTTTGAGGTGAGAGGGAGATGGAGTTAGCCCTCACCATCAGAGGTACCTTAGCCAGAATTAAAGAACAGTTAGCTTATATCATCAGCATCTATAAACCAATGGCCACCGCACTAGGTGCTAACAGCTAGAGATAGAGAACAGGTAAAAGTCACAAGGAATCAGGAAGTGGAGGATGGGGAAGACCAGCCACCAAGAAAATCAGTCAAGGCTGAGACATAAACTAGCTGTGGCGAAAAGCTCCCTGGCTGGGGCTTCTGTTGTTGTTGTTGTTGTTTTTTTTTTCAGGTTTCATCAGGCCATTTCTCCAAGCCAGGCTCGCAACCATGGCTGCCTTTGCCAGAACAATTATCCACTTGAAGGAAACATCTTCCTACTTCCCTAGGAATACACCACTCACATCAAATGGGTCCGCCATAGCAGGCCTGTTTGCCAAAATTAGCTAACTGACCAATTTATAAATTACAAGAACATTTTTTAAACTAACTTTGAGTGTGTGGAAATGGAGATTGACCCCGGGAGCCCACACATGCTAGGGAATGATTCTACCACAGAGCCAAATCCCCCGACCGCTTTAAAATGTTTTCAAATTCTGAGATAAGGCTTTGCTGCACCAGCTTGCCCAGGCTGGCCTCACCGCCAGGTTCCTAGCGCAGCCTCCCGAGTAGCTGAGATGACAGCGTATGCTACCGCACCCACCTAAAGCTACTCTTTTAAAACATGACACAGCTATTTCTATTAGGAAGAATCGTTTTAATAGCTTGGAAGATCTTGAAATTTGACTTTTTCATTAAAAAAAAAAAAAAGGATGAAAGCAGGGCCAGCCAAATAGCTCAGCGGATTAAAGTACCTACAAGCAGGTGCAGGGGGCCAGGGATTCGATCCCTGGGCCTACCATGCCGGCCCCACCCCCAGGGCGCGCTGAGACGGCAAATGACACTGGGCCGCACCTGTAACCCCAGCTCTTGGGAGCCTGTAAACAGGCCGATCACTACGAGTCTGATCTAGTAGTGAGACCCTGAACACCCTGTAGACCCTTCCCTAAAACACACAAAAAAGTGATGGCTGATATACCACTAAAGAATTAGAAAAAATGGGGGCTGGTGGGATGGCTCAGTGGTCTAAAGCACCTACTTAGAACAAGCTTAGCGAAGCACAGGGACCGCGGTTCAATCCCCCAGCACCACATGCCAGCCAGCCCCGCCCCCTGGTGGGCTGAGCTGGCCACACACACACACACAAATAAATAAAATTTTTAAGCTGAAACATTCTGTCAAAATTAGAGAAATTTTTAGTAGCCAAGGACAGATTAGGATGTTGAGTTATGGCAGTTTGAAAAGATGTGTATCACAAATAAATAAAATCCTTCAAAGTCACAAGTGAGAAATGAGAATGGTTCAAAGGGGTTACTATAAAATATCTTATGAAGTAGGCTCAGATTTTGATATGTAGCCAGGTGTGATGGGGCATCCCTATAATCCCAGCACTCTGGAGGCTGAGGCAGGAGGCTCCCAGTGAGTCTGAAGCCAGCCTGAACTACGTAGTGAGACCCTGTCTCAAAAAACCAAAAAGAAAAGCTACATTGAGATCTTATGACAACTTCAGATATTTAAATTGTAAACAATACATTATGACATATACAAATAATTCTTAAAATACTGCCATAAAGATAAAATAAAAACTTGCAAATTGAAAGTTCCCAGAATTCTCCCAAATCTGTCAAAAACAGCTTCTACAACGGTAACTATAAAGTGGTGACAGAAAAGCCTTTTTAATTTTTTTTTTTGAAAACCAGCGACAAGGTCTCTCCTCACTTCAGCCTTCGGAGCAGTCTGAGGCTGGCAAGAGCTGAGAGCTGTCTCTGACAAGCTTTACTGCTCGCTTCTCTTCTGACAGGGGATACGAGGGCAGGTGATGGGCAGCCTTATTGGCCAGAAGAGGTGGTGGTCCCTGGATAGATCCAAATTCTCATTCTGACTACACCTTTGGCTACGGGCTACAGAAGCAGAGTCAAGGCAGGGGAGTCGACGGAGGTTGGTGTCACAAAGCTCAGATCTTCCAAAGGAGTCAGGAGTTGCCTCTCCACAAAGAAAGCCAAGGTGTTAGGTCGCAGACTCTGATCCTTCAGTGCCTAAATGTCCGCGAGCATGCTCTGCAGCCAGTGTTCCAGATGCGGAGGATACAACACAAACGAGAAAAGCACAACGTACAGAGAGAAAATAATGAACATAGATGTGGTGTTCTAGTAAACGCTTGACAATCAATTCTCAAAATGAAACAAAACCTTTATTTGTAACCTTCTATTTATTTATTTATTTATTTATTTATTTATTTATTTATTTAGTGGAACCAGGGATTGAACTCAGGCCCTTGCACTTGCCAGGCACCACTTATTCTCCTTAGCTATCTCCCCAGCCCCCTTCGATGATTTTAGTGCTATAAATACTTCCCATCATGGCTGTTTTCAAGTGACATTATTACAAACACTGCTGGGAAGAAAGGGGCTAGCTTGCATAGGGGTATTTACCCTAACTTTTCTCTTCAAACTGTCAGTATAAACAGACTCATAGCCATGATAAAACTACCGTACAAGAAAGCCAACCATACTGGGACCAGGGTTCGACCCCCAGTCCCGAATGCCACGTTGGCCTGGCCCCTGGGCACGTGGAGCCGGAGACCTGGTGTCGCACGCCTGTAATCCCAGCGCTGGGGAGGCTGAAAACAGGAGGATCGCTACGAGTCCGAGCTGCAGAGTGAGATCCTGTACCAAATACATAAAATGAAAACAAAGGAAAAGAAAGCCAACCACCAGCCTAAAGATAAGCGCTCAGGAGGGTTGTGGTGGCACGTGCCTGTAGCAACAGCTCCTCAGGAAGGTGAGGCAGGAGGCTCTCTCCGGGCCAGGAGTTTGGAGCTAGCTTGGGAACTAATGAGACCCATGGGAAGGGGAGAAATGAAAGAAAAAGTCTAGAAGTGAGGGCTGGCGAGATAGCTCAGTGGACAAAGCGCCTGCTTAGGCAAGCACAGGGACCCGGGTTTGATCCCCAGCACCACATGCTGCACCAGCCCTGCCCCTGGGTGTGCTGAGCAAGCCGCGGAGACCAGGCATGGTGGTGCACGCCTGTAATCCCCGTGCTGGGAGGCTGAAAACAGGAGGGTCACTGCGAGGCGGAGCTGCGTAGTGAGACCCTGTACCAAAGTCTAGAGGGGGATAAAATGTCACTACAGGGCAAGAAATACAGTTCTTAGAACCTACACTGGATGCCTCGGCTGCCAATAAATCTGCTTGCCACCCCCAGCCACAGAAGAGCAAGTCTCTTCAGGTCTATCCTCCTGGAATAGCAGCTGTGCCTCCCCTCGGGGAGCTATCGTAAAAGAGATTGTGAATATGCGTGATTATCTTGCAGGGGTCGGAGAAAAGGCTTCCAAGGCTTCAAATATCACTGCACTGGGGCACTCAGCCCATGCGTCAGGCTCAGGACAAGCCCAGATGAGGGTGAGGCCAGATGAGGGTGGGGGTGAGATACCCCTTTTTTCACCCATTTTTTAAGGTCTCACTGTCTCCCCCTCCCCCTCCCTCCCCCTCCTCCCCTTCTTCTTCAAAAGTAGTGGTCCAGGCAGCTGTGCTGCTGGTTGTGGTATTGCCCAGGGCTTCACACTGACTTTACATCTTCAGCTCTTCATATTGGGACACAAGGTCTCCACATTGCCCAGCCTGGGCTCGAATTTGCAATTCTCGTGCCTCAGCCTCCCAAAGCACTGAGATTACAGGCCTGCATCAACACGCCGGGTCCGGGAGGAATTTGACAGAGAGAAAAACCCCACAAGACTCATAATCCTTAAAATATTCTTGGCCCAAGGTGAGAACGCCTCTGAGCGCGCGCACCAGGCAAAACCACGAGGCAAAAATATATAGGGGAGGACAACCTCTTGTTTTCTTTATACAGCCATTATTAGCTGCAAAAACCGTTTTGATTTTATTTTCACTTTGTTTTAGTTAGTAATGATTGCCTTGAGTCAAACACACTCTCTCTCCAAGTAGGAGATACGTCTCTCCTATGTTTTTATCTTCCCCGTACACCCCTTCTTTTCTTTTCCCTTTCTGCTTGCCCCATTGGTCTCAGCCAATCCTGATGAGATGTGTCAGAGACGTCATGAGTTTCTCAGAAGATTAGGAAGCGTCTCCTAACTGGTGCGCCCCCGCCTGGCGGTGCAGACCAAACGGTCTGAGCGCGTGGCTGACTCTAGAGAACCACTGGAAGGTTGCGAAGCTAGCGGCATCAAGAGAAAGGAGACGCGGCGGAGGACGAGGGACAGGCAGACAGCCCTTGCTCAGTGAGAATATAGGGTCTGTTTGGCTTGCTTGTGTTTGTGGCGATTGCTTCTGGGGCTTTCCCGTGGAATCTGTGCAGGCCTAGCTCAGCGTGAGCTTCGCCAGCTCACACGCTAGTGACCTGCAAACCCCAAGGAGCACTTGCTGAAGTGTTTCTCTACTTTTTTTGTTTGTTTGAAAGACAGGGACTTCCTATGTAGCCGAGGCTGGCCTTGAACTCGGAGATCCTCCTGCTTTATCCTCCCACGTGCTGGGATTACAGGCGTGCGCCACCCAGCGAGCTCTGAAAAATGTTTATGGTTTAAGTAGCGCCCCCTTTAAAAGCCCTTGTTGTCACATGTGTGTACTAGTCTCACGCAGCTAGACCCAAGCTCTTGCCCGACCTGAAGTGGCCCTAGGTCCCACCCACATCCAGGCGGTGGGTGGTGTTATGGGTCAACTCTGCGTGGGAACCAGATCAGCCAGAGAGAAATCTGAATAGAGCCTTTATTTACTGAGCTCAGGTCCGCAGCCACTTCTCTCGCAGGAGAAGGCTGATCGGCCCCGATCGTAGGTAGCAGGGGGGATTTATAACAGAAATCACATCCAGCTTGGTAAGCAAACTTGTTATCTAGCACAGAACAACAGAAACTGCATTCACTTGACGCAGCTGCAGACTGTTCATAACTAAACGGTCTTTCACAGCTTAGTGATAAGCGTATATTTTTACAAGATACATCTTAAGCTGACTACGTTACAGGAGAAGGTTGGGGAGGGAGTTTGAGTTAGCTTGCTGCCCTGACAAGAAACAGTTATTTATTGTTGAACAGCCTTGAGCTGAAAGGGAAAACACATTTCTTAGAGCAGATAACAGGAAGCACAAGGGGTTTTTATAATTTTCCACAATTAAGGCACAAAACTCTATTAACCCTTTACAGGTGGCATCCTCGCGCGGGTATTTGTACATGTTTGGTCATTTTCCTTCAGTTGTGGTCACCGAATGTCTATGGCCACTTTGGGCGATTGGGATCTATCAGGAAAGTCCTTGTCCCCGTGGCCCGTAGAATCTTCCTGGGGGTAAGAAACCAATTACAGACCTGGGGGCCGGGGATATAGCTCAGTGGCACAGAGCCTGCCTGGCAAGCACAAGGTCCCGAGTTTGAGTCCCAGTACCGAAACAAAACAAAATAATTACAGGCCAGACCACTAAGCACAGATGTGTTACAGGGCGACGGGAGAAGACGGCAGTAGTGTAGAGAGAAGGTGCGGGTTGAACAAAGGCTCGTTGGGGGAGGTCTCCTTGCAGAGATCATCTAACTGCGTAGCATTGGAGAGTGACAGAGAGAAGAGACAGCGCCCAGGCATAGTGTGTCTCCTTTTCTATAAAAAACTCGCAAGAAACTCTGGAATCTAAGTGCAAGGTGAGAATCCCAAACTTGTACCTGAAGGCCAGTGCAGGCGGCCCTGGAATCAGTGTTTGCCTTCTTCTGGTCACTGCCTGCCCTTCTGCAACCAATCCTGAGTGGAGAAGCTGGACTTTTAGATTAATCCTTCCATTTAGGAAATAGCCTACAGAGTACACCAAAGGGATTTTCAAAAGTAGTTTCCCCTTAGGATGCTCCTTTCTTTCTCCTTAACAAAATGTAAAATCTCAGGTTTCAGCCTTTGATCCTAGCCAGCCACTGCAAGGTGACAAGTCAAGCGTGGGGATGTGGGTGGCTGTGGGGAAGGGTGTCAGTATATGGTGTGCAAACAAAAGGACTTTCACCCACCCCACCCCCTGCCACCACCTAAGGTGTGTCTCAGACCAGTGGTGGAAATAGGTGCAACTCAGCAACTACCAGGAAAAGCCAGCCCTCTTGGTTCATAGTGATCAGAGATGGAAACACAGCCGACGTAGACATAAGGTAGATTCATAGCAAGGTCGGTTTTGCTCAATGTGGTATCAGCAAGCAAAGAGGGATTAATAGAGGGCTCAGACTGATGTCTGGGGAGTTGTCTGTGCCTGTGTGGCCCGTCATAGCCCCAGTGGTCTGGACTCATGAGGAGTACAGCAGCCGTGAAGGCCTGAGCATCGGCCTGCGGTCAGAAGGCCTACGTTTGTGCAGTTGGGAGGCGGAGGCAGCAGGGTCACCATGAATTCAAGGGCAGCCTGCACTATGCAGTGAGTTCAAGGCCAGGGAGGCCTTGTCTCAGAAAACCAAACCAAAAACAAAGACAAAAAAACAATAACAACAACCACGTAGGTTTGGGTCATGGCTTCGCTGTTTTTTCCCCTCACCAGTACTGAGCCTTAAATTCAGGACCTTCACGCTAAGCTACATTCCCTGTGATTTAAAACAATTTTTTTTTTTTGAGAGAGGGGCTCATCAAATCACTAATGTGCCCAGGCTGAGCTGGAATTTGTTGTCCTCCTGACTTTGCCTCCCAGAGTGCTAGGATTACAGGTGTGCACCACCACCCCAGGCTTTGGTTCTGCCTTCTAGCTGTGTGACCAGAAGCAAGCTATTCATCTCTTTTATTTATTTTTTATTTTATTTATTTATTTATTTATTTATTTATTTTGTATTTTAGGGAAGGGTCTACAGGGTGTTCAGGGTCTCACTACTAGATCAGACCCATAGTGATCCGCCTGTTTACAGCCTCCCAAGAGCTGGGATCACAGGTGTGCGCCACCATGTCTAGTTCCTATTCACCTCTTTTAGGCTCTGTCCTCTCTGTAAAATTGGTGATAATCCTAGGATTAGTATGAGATGACAAGGTAAAGGCATAAAGTTCATTGCCTGGAATACAGTGTGTTCGTTAAACGTTAGAAATCGAAAGGGAAAAGCTATACAAGAGGTATTGTTCTCTTAGAACTTTGTTCTTTTACAGCTGCCTGTCTGTGACTCCCTCGTGGCTTTGTGATTACTTTCTGGACCCACCATGAGCACACACCCAACACGCAGGATGCCCAAGTGCGCCTCTGTGCCAAGCTTTATAGACTGATGTCAACCTCCTTGCTAATCAGAAGAACTGTAGGCTGCTCTTTCTCACCTTCATTCCTCCTTTGAACCTCCCTCCTGCTTGTGCGGCATGTAGAAGCCCTAGCCTAGCAGGGATCAGGGCCTGTTACTTGGGGAGTGATCCCAGGCAGTGCCCCTTGGGGTCAGTCAGCCTAACTGGGTGTGGTTTGGGCATTTCTGCTTGCCATTGTGAAGTTATTAGGCAAGATATGATTGGGAAAGGGTTATTGAAAGGTCGGCAGACTGGGGATACAGCTCAGTGGCAGGGTGCTTGCCTAGCACGCACGCCTCCCTAGGTTCAATCCCCAGCATCAAGAAAAATAAACCAAAACCAAAAAGTCACCACAAAACAATCCCGTACACATACACATATGCACATGCACGCACACACACACACACACACACACACATACACACACCCCACCTAATTGAATGTTACACACACCCCTTGGCAGTAGGAAAGCCATGTCTTTTGCCCTTTTCATGACGCTTCTAAAATAATATTAGGCATAAACAAGTGATATTTTCTAAATCTTGTGCAATATGTGAAAAAACATTCAGAGCATGGTTATTTATTGATATATTTGACTTGGAATTAACTCACTTAATCCTCACATATTTCCCTCTCCCTTTTTTTTTAGCACTTAGCACAGAGTATTATTTTTTTTTTAATTTTTGATTTGTTTTTGTACTGGAACTTGAACTCACAACCTTGGACTTGCCAGGCAGACGCTTGTAGCTATATACCCAGCCTGCAAACAACTATTGAGCAGCTACAACATGATAAACTTTTTGAAAGCTGTAGAAGATAGTTTTTGTTTGCTTGTTTGTTTTCGGAACCAGGGATTGAACTCAGGCCTTCCATAGGATTTCCAGGAATTCCTATGTTACAAGATAAAACTATCGAAGACCCAAAAA